TCTCTCTCTCTCTCTCTATAACTACGCGCTTATATTCTCACGTTAGTCGTTCTCTTAGCCTCTTTCTTCCTTCAAGATCCGTTTCACCGGATCGTTCACGGATACTCGGGAGTCACGCGCAACCAACACATCGAACACATTGCCTCTCTCTATATTTCCTTCATCTACGGGTGAAATTCCAATCATTCAAATTATGTTTCTATGATCACGTTCTTTTTCGTGGCCGGACAATTAACGAGTTTCAGTGTCAGCGACAATCGAGGATACTCGGACGAGTCTTCACTTCTTTTTGCTCTTGCTGTTCTTCTGGATCTTCGTGATCTTCAGTCTACAGCTCGACCCGCCGGTGTACACGACCTCCGCCCTTCCCCCTTCCTCTATCGCGACAACCAGAGCCTTCACGGACTTCACGTGCACGTCTTTGGCGCTGATCTCCAACGATGTACCCGGGAACCGATCTCTCACGCATTTTCCAATACTCGAAGCTTGGCTCTCCGTCAGGTCCACCCCGTCCAGGCAGAGCCAGGTCAAATACTGAAGGTGCGTCAGGATCGTCTGAACGAACACGTGCTCCATCTGCACCTTCTTCGCGCTGTCGGTCACGATCAGTCCGCTTGCCTTCAGGAAGCTTAGGTTGCACAGCTTCAGATATTTCGCGATCTGTCTCATCGTCTTCTCGCTGTCCTCCAACGTGACCCGCCAGAAATTGATCCTCAAGGACTGTAGATTCCTAAAGTGAGAGGAGAGGCAGGCGAAGAAATGCTGCAGGATCTTGTCGTCGATGAAGAGCAACGACCCGCTGCTGCCTCCTATGGTGGACTTGTCCAACGAGAGGTCGAGCTCGCTGAGGGCGGTGAAGCCCGCGAGGAATGGCAAAAGAAGCGGCCCTCGTAGCGCCAGACGATCGTTCACTGTCACCTGGAATCAAAAATAATGCCGTGCACTGCTTTGTTCGTGTTGAACCTTGCTTCCCCCTCCCCCCTTTCTTTCTTCTTTTTTTTTTCGAGGGAAGAACTATGAGAGAAGACGAATTCTGACGAATTCTGAAACCAAAGTTAAAAGGAATGTCGGCCTGGCGAAATTTTTCAAAAGAACGAATTTTTACGCAACGAATCGCGGAACGTAATATATCGATCGTCGTAGTTGGATATACGACGAATACCCCGAGCAGGGCGAATAATCTATCGCGGTCAGAACGACCGCAAACGAATCATCGACGGCCTCGAATTACGAATCGGCTAGTTCGACTGGACTCGAGTGTCTGGAACGTGTCGTCTCGTGTCTCGTGTCTCGTGTCTCGTGTCTCGCGTCGAATCCTCCTGGCAACTCGATACGTCGACTCGAATTCTCGTTGGCCGGTGTGTTATGCCTTGTTACCTTC